GGCTCTGACTGTAACTGGGGCTGTCATTACATAATAGTCAGCTCAATGAGGGCTCTGAATGGTGGAGCACTCATCCCCTGGGGCTGTTGTGCATGGCTCTGCCTCCTCTTGGGGCAACAGACTCAGGACCCTGGGTGTCCAATCCTGTAGTGGCTGTGAATACTGAAGGTGGCCTACCTCAGAAGTCACACAGAGATATTTCTGCCAATGTGGTCGTGAAATGGAAGGGCACAGATGCCTCTCAGTTAAGGAGAACAGAGGGGACAGCTGATGGAGCTATGTCTGACTCTGTCCTATTCAGGACTCCCACAAACCCAGGGCACATACATGCAGGTTGTTGAGAAAGGGACGTGCTGGGTTTGGCCAGTTGTCCAGGCCTCTTGACTATTTTACATACTGTGAGTGGTCCTTTAAAGGGACGAGGCCACCTGCCCAGTGCTGTCTCCTTCCTGAATCACGTTTTCCAAACTCCTCTAGGGATGGAATCCATTCCACTCAGGGAAGTGGAGGTAGTAACACCTTGGCTGACCATACCCTGTGGTGTGTCTCCCCCACCCTTTACTGAAGTGCCAGTCCAGCATCTCCAACCTACCCTGACTGGGTAGCACCATGCAGTCACTCAGGGCAGCTTCAGGTGGCCTACTGTGCTGATTGGCTTCCCTCATAGCCGTTAGTTATCACCAGAAGGAAGTTTCTATTTGGCCACAATAACTCTTTAACACTTGAAAGTTTTCCTGGAGAAAGGGAGGCAGGGGAGCTCCAAGCTCATCCACTGTACTCCAGATGTGCAAGCTGCAAAATTTCCCCTAGTGCAAGAAACTGAATGGCATGACTTGCAGTGGGGACTGTGCAAGCTCTCCCCTTAAATTAAAAAACAAAGATCGCCAGGTGTGGTGGTGTATGTCTTTAATCCTAGCATTCAGGAGACAGAGGCAAGCAGATCTCTAGGGGTTCAAGGCTAGCCTGGTCTACACCGTGAGATCCTATCTCGAACAAAACAGCAAGCAAACTCAAAAACAACCCAAAAGTCCTAAAACCAGGGCCAGTGAACCGGCCCAGTGGACAAGGCAGCTACCAAACCTCAAGACCTGAGTGTGATGGAAGAACTAAGCTCCTTCTTTTGGTTTTGGTTTTTTGAGACTGACTGTCCTCCAACTCACAGAGATCCATCTGCCTCTGCCTATCAAATGCTGGGATTAAAAATGTGCACCACCACTGCCCGGCTAAGAACTAACCTTTAAAAAACAACAAAAAACCAGGGTCTCACTTGGCTGTTCTGGAACTCAATATATGAACCAAGCTGGCCTCACCTCTGAGTGCCGGGATTGAAGGTGTACAGTGTGATGTGATGCCTGACCAAGAACTGACTTTCCTGGAACTTGTTTTGCAGACCAGGCTGGCTTCGAACTCAGAGATCTGCCTCCCAAGGGCACCACCACCACCCAGAACTGACTTTCCTAAGTTATTTTCTCCATGCTCATGTCCTACCTTGAAACTCATGTACAGCAAATAAACAAGCACTGTTCTCATAATGGGGTGACTTATGACCTGGGTATTCGGAGTCAGCCTGGAGGCTGGAAGTCTAAATGGGCCAGGCGGACCCTCCAGAGTTGGGCAGGGCCACGCCTTTCTGCTTGAGGTTTTTCTGGAGTTTGCCCTTTGCCTGGCCTCCTTTTCATGAGGGCAAGTCGTGTAGGTTAGTCTGCCCTAGTCATTCATCATTACTTTAGGCTCTCACATAGCCCAGGCTGGCCCCAAACTCACAATGTAATGGAAGATCAACTTGAATGTAGGATTCTTCTGTTAGTACCTCCCAAAAGTTGGGATTCCACCCATGCACCACCACACCCTGTTCATGTGGTGCTGGGGACCCAAGAGGCTTCGTGTGTGTTGGGTAGCCACTGAGCTGCACCTTTAGCCTCCCCCCCTTTTTTGAGGCAGGCTTTTTCTGTGTAACTGGCTGCCCTGGAACTTTCTCAGTAGACCAGACTGGCCTTGATTCAGAGGTCCGTCAGTCTCCGTGGTGCTGGGATTAAAGGTGTATACCACCACTGACTACCATCCTACGTGAGTTTTAAGACAGCATCACAGACTCCATTGTGGGCTAGGGTTCCATCTTAAAAATGAAGGCAAAACAAACCCCAAATTCTAAACACATCCTGATATAGACAAGTTATACATAAGGACAACTGACACAAATTTTAGCCAGGTGTGGCAGTGCAAACCCATAACCTCAGCACTTGATGAAGCAGGATCATGAGTTTGAGGTCCTACCAGGCTACATACCCTATGGAATCCCATCTCCAAAATAAATGAACAAAAAAACCTGTGCAAAAAAAAAAAAAAAACCCAGCAAACAAAATGGTACAAAACAATGGAGATCTGTGACCTGCTATCTTTTATGACTTGTCAAACCTGCGTGTGGTGTCTGTCAGCTGTTCTCATCCTGACTGAAGCTTCTACCCCATTTTGCTTTGGTGAGCATATACTGACTCAGAGACCCTGGTTAGTGACCAGGTAGGCAGCATAGAGCCCCACTGAGGAGAGACACTAGATGTGGCAAAACCGTGGCTCCCTTACCTCAGTCTGCTTTCAAGGCCACATCTGTGTGCTCTGCACACAGCTGGCTAAACTCTTCTTGCTCCCATCCTGCTCGGCTGCAGTTAGAAAAAGATGAAGCGGACACAGGGGCTGATTCAAGACACATGTGCCATTTTAATATCTTTCCCGCTCATTTACAACAGTCCCGTTGGGCTCTCTGTACATGATCAAATGCTTCTCTTGGATCGAGCATCCAGTGTGCACAGCACATACTATCTCTGGGTCGATACCTGTATTAACTACAGACCGACTCGTTAGTAACAAGCAGATACAGAAACCGTAAACCCATCCCACAATGAAATTCCAAAGGTCCAGCCTTGTTCCTGGACATAGGAAAGGAAGCTGGCTGAAGAAACGAAACAGCTGGTCAGGGAGGACCACCGCCTGCTTGAGGTAACATAGCTGCACCAAATCCCATCAGAGCAGAAGATGCCTTCCAGCATTTGGGTAACTCAAGCAGGAGGCCATCCTGGGCTACAGAATAAGACCCTATCTCACACACCCTCTCCCCCGAAAAAAAAGGAAGACCTGACTCTGTTGACTGAGTGGCCTGGCATGCTCCTGATTTCAATCCCTAATACACCCCTAATAAAGTGTGTATGGCCATGGCCGACACCTATAATCTCAGCACTTTGGAAGTAGAGGCAGGAATCAAATTCCAAGGTCATCCTCAGCTGCATAGCAAGTTCAGGGCCAGCCTGGGCCGAGTCCCTGCCTTTAAAAAAAACAAAAGACCTTTAACCACCTTTCCCCCAACACTCTTGGAGTCTAGGGCCTGCCTTCAAAACCACAAAATCTGTATTGTCCAGTAAGCCAAACAGAAAGGGAAGTTTGGGATGTTCTCCCACCTCAGCTTCGGGGTGTGGCCTCTTCCTTCTTGGGCTGTGGTACAGAATAGTATTTTAAGTATCCGACTAACATTCAAACAAAGAGTTTTTGAAAGGAATGTGAAAGACAAAAAAAAATGCCAATCAGATTTTCCCGTCTTGCTGTCTGTAGCCTCCCATAAAGTTAATTTGGGATGCGACTGCGAAGCCTCCCCAGAAGTCTTAACATCTTGGGGAGAAGCATTCGGGGCATTCACTGTAGCTAGCTAAGGTCATTTTGTGTAAACTCCGAAGAGTCATTCATTAAAATTAAATGCTCACCCTCACCTCAGCCCTTTTTTAAATGCCGCCAGCCCTGCCTCTTCCATCTTGGTCTCTGCGACAGGGGTTACATTCGCAAAATATATAAAGAAAAATATAAGGGTTACTTGACTTGGTGACCATATAGTGCACTCCGACAGCTGGGCGCGCATATTTTCACCATGAATACCCCTTACTAAAAGTAAATCATTGGGTAAAGATAGCTGGAACGTGACAAGAGTCCAGCAGGGCGCAGGATGCTACATGTGGAAGAGAAGCAGGCAGACGCACCCGGCAGGCAGAGTCTCCAGCTTGATCACCAGGGGCTCAGGAACAGAGGTAGATGGGAATAGAGTGCGTTCACACTCGGACTGCATCAGAATGCGGACTCCTGCAGGCAGACAGCATTAGGACTGGGAAGGACAGTCGCTCTCAAATTGTGGAATTCCAGCACAAAGCTCCCCAAATTCAGGGAAGCCTGTTTTTCTCAGTTTGATTTTTCAAAATATATTGCTATATCCTGAATCACAAAGTAGAAATTCATCCCTCAAGTCTTGAGTTGTGGCACACACACCTCCTTGTCCATTCCTAGCTCCTTTCCAGGCAATTGACAAAGTTCCAATGGCTACAAGCCATATGCCCTGTTAGCCCTCCAACAAAGGCAAACAGGAGTTTATGAAGTTGTCTAAGGGTCTCTACCATCCCATAGGTCGAGGAAGATTGACTGCAAGAGAGTTCAAAGATCAGTCTTGGAGATCTAAAAACAGAGGCGGGAGGGCTTCCAGGACGCACTTCTGTCCCTGGAGTAAACCGATCCGTTCGGGTTCATACCAAAGGGAGCTGAGGGAGCGGCTGCTTCAGGATGCTTCCCGACTGGAAGGAGGAGTGCAGGGTCCTCCTCTCACAGGCGCAGAGGCCCTAGGCAGGCCTTTCCAGACAGAGCCCAGACACCCTTGGAATCTGATGTCCCCAGTTTTAAGAGACTCACACACGAAATAGCAGCACACCCTTGGCTTTGTAGTTTAGGAAGTCCATCCCACTGCAAACAAGTCCGAGCTTCATTGGATTTGTTTGCTCTTTTGGTCATTTCCCCCTCCCATAAAATGAAAATACACAGAATTATAAATAATTGGGCATCTGTATATACATATTTAAATAATTTAAATATCTTACACCTGTTTTTTTTTTCTTGCAAGTAATTCTCCGTGGAAAGAAAGTGCTCCTCCTGAGGGGTGGGGTGTGCTTCCGAGGCTGAGGCAGCACTCTGGAGGGTCACAGTCTAGGGAGGAAGTGTGTTACCTTCATGGTAGGAGACACTCGATTCCCCTTCTTGGTCCGCCCATTCTTACTAAGGGCCATGAACATGCCGGGGTACGCGTAGGATTCGTAGGCGTTGTAGTTGTTGGGCAGAAGAATCTCTTTGAATTTGCACTCTTCGGTAAAGAAAGGCTAGGAAGGAGGACACAGGGTGAGCCAGGGACCTGTTGTAGCCAAGCCCAAGGGGGGTCTCAGAATTTCTAGGCAGAGTGTCAAGTCTGTCTGTCCCAGGCTTCAAGGAGGTGATAAGCCCACACTAGGCGGAGCACAGCTCACCTGCCCTGTCCCTACCAATCTATCAATCTGGTGTCTCCTGTCGTGCGTTCTGCCTTTTGGGACTACTCATCTCTGCTGGACCGCCTCTCTCCTAGGATGAGTTAAGTACCCACATACCGCTGGCAGTAATAGGGTGGGGCAGCTCCTTTGGTTTGGAAACCCAGACCACCTCTGGTTACTTTAGCTGAAAACCTTGAGACCTGGTAACCGGACACAAGTGCGTGTGTGCGTTTTATAATCCCGCTAGCACTGCATACAGTCCCCAGCAGGTGCCCAGTCAGACTCCCCAGGCACTCACCACACCGAAGAGCTTGCCCCTGCTGCTCATGGCCACGAAGAACCGGCTAGCCACCCCGAAGATGCTCACCACGCCCCGCTGCACCGGGGAGAGCTCCAGAAGGCCTAGGGGGAGGGGGGCGCAGGTCAGAAAAGCGTAGGTAACCCCACAGAGACCCTCCGCCAAGAACCTCTGGGGACCTGGATGCTGGCGGTGAAAAAAAAAAAAAACCCAGGCAGGGTCCCCAGCGCAAAGCATTAAGCGTTCGTGTCCTGTCTGCCCGTAGGCCCCCAAGTCTGGCCTCAGTCTGGGCATTTGTCCCGGGCTCCCGTGGGTGCCGACGGGCGAAGGCGCTGGAATTCGGCACCGGGAGCCCAGGCTTCCGAAGGCGGGAGGCGGGGTCCGGCTAGCGGGTGCGCTCACGGTCTTCGCGTCCAAAGGGACGGAGCTCGAATCCGCTCCGTTCCTGGGTCTACTGCCCGGGTCCCCACCCTCCCGGCACGCTCCGCACTCACTGTCGCTGGTGTCCGCGTGTACGCCACCGATGCGACCGTCGGGCAGCACCTGCAGGTGGAATCCGATGCCCACGTTGCAGTAGAGTCGCCGCAGTCTTTTGAGGCCCAGCAGGTAGTCCCCTGCGCCGCTGCGGACCGCAGCCTGCGGGGGCTGCGCGGCCACCGGTAGGCGCACCAGCGAGCGAGCCACCAGGCCGTTCCAGCCGCGCCCCAGTCCGGCCGGCCGTGTGCCATTGGGTGCGGCGGCCCCTCGAACCACCAGGGCTACCAACAGGCTCAGCAGGACTCTGGATAGCAGAGTCCCGGTGGCTGGCCCGTGCTTCTCCATCCCGGCCCGCGGGCCGTGCGTGCGCTCTTGTGGCGGGCCGTGAGTCCGGCGAATGCTGCGCGCCGGTCGAGGCTGCGGGAAGGAACTAGCCTGCAGCGGTGGCGGGACAAGTCCCCGCGCGTCCAGCCCCACAGAGAGCAGCGGTATATATAGCCGGCGCCCCCTCCTACTCTCTGGCCCGCGGGGCGCCGGTCGCCTGGGAGCTGGGGAGCAGGCCGCCTGCCAATCACCGCTGGGGGAGGAGGCGCGGACAGGGCGGTGGCTACTGTCACCTGGAGAGACCCCAGCCCCTAGCTCTTGGCTCCGCCCAGTACTAGAACCTGTTGGTCCCACCCCTCGGCTCTCTGCTCCCTAGGGCATCTCCCATCCTCCTTCCTTGCTGGTGGACCCTTGGGGACCCGGCAGATTCTGAATTCTTTCTGGTGCGCCAAGGACTGGCCTGGGCTGAGGGTGGGAAGTACAAGTCACACTGTGACTTGGCTATCAGGAGGGAAACTCCAAAGGTGGCACGATTGGTGGGGAGACAAGTCTAGGATGGTCCCAGAAGCTTGGAAGCCTCCAGGTGGGCCAGGTGGGGAGGTGGAGGGGACAAAGCCTGAACAGCAACCACGGAGTGGGCTCTTCTAAGAGAAATCCAGTTAAGGACGTCCGGGAACAGCACAAACCTGCGCTCCCCTCCCAGACACCTCAAGGCAAGGACAGACAGACAACTGGCAGGGCATTGGGCTCTTCGAGTCATCAGTTCCCTCCCTCTGACCGCAGAACAAGAATTTTCAAGTGTAGAGTCCAGACCTTCTTAATTCTGGAGCACTCCAACCCTTAACGGCTCTGGAAGGTCCCTTCCCCCACTAGCACCCCACCCCCCACTGAGGCCATTATGGCCTGATGGGGCCGGACTGGGCAGAACCCTGATACTGCTCACCTAGGTGTGAATGTCCCTGTTCTGTGTTCTATGGTATCTGAGGAGCCTGGAGCCAGCAGGTGACCCAGCCACAATACAGGGGGCTCAGGGCCTGCCACATCCCTTACTGAAGAATCAGTACCTGCCACCAGAGCCTCTTCAGGGGACTGTGGCCTCCTCCCACCCTCTGCCCTTGGGCTTGCACTAATCATCGCTGGTCTTTACTCAAAACACCAAAGGGACTGAAGCAGACAGATTCCTGAGACCCAGAGTGGCCACTCAGGCATCTATCTAGTCCTTAGTTGGGCAGAGTGGCCTGCAGAACTGCTGCTGGCCTTTTGGACCACACACACACACACACACACACACACACACACACACACACACACACACACACACACACACCCTTCTTGTCTCTGGGTCCCTAAGTCCCTTGCTGTGAAGTATCACTGGAGGTGTGTTGCGGGCCTTGGTCTGGGCACTCTAGGGTTATCCTCTAGGGAACAGGGACCCAGGCTTGGATCACACCTAAGCCATTACCCTGCACTAAGGCTCTTGCTGTTGGCAAGCAGGTCCCCCCCCAACTTGATTTGGGGATGCATCCCTGACTCTGTGACACTGCAGGAGCCTCTGGCCTCCACACTTGTGGGTGCTCTTGATAACAGAGACAAATAGCCAGGGGGCTGTTTCAGCACTACCATCCAACTGCCCTGGGGTTTGACTCTTGCTCTAGGATGTAACTGCTGCAGGACTCTCTCATCCTCCATGCTCATTAGTGTCAGGGAGAATATGGGAGCATGGGTAGGGATAAGAGCCCCATGGACTGGCTGGCCTCAGTCTGTCCTGAGACTCCGACCCCATGCCTGTCCAGCTTCCAGCCCCTTCTGGAAGGAAGAACCTGGAAGGAAGACTCCTCCTGCGTAGGCTGCCCTACAACAGCGGTCTTTCAGGATGCTGGCATGCCCTCCCCCACTCTGCTTGCAGCCAATTCACACCTCTTAAGGATCTCATTGGGGTCAGGCTTGGCAGTCCACACCTTTAGTCCCTGCACTCAGGAGGCAGAGGGAGATGCATCTCTGAGTTTGAGGTCAGTCTGATCTATATGGTGAATTACAAGCCAGCCTGGGCTACAGAATGAGACCTTGCCTCAAAAGGAAAAAAAAAAAAAAAACAACTACAACAAAAGTCTTCATTTATTATGTGCCCCTGCTCCGCAGAGATTGTCACCATCATGGTGTGATGACAGTCTAGACCCATCTCCAGAGCTTGGGACACAGTAGGTGTTCAATAGTGCTGGTGGGTCAGTGGCTACTGGCTAAGCCAGGCCTGGAGCAACTCTTCCAGAAACTGTGAGGCTCAGTACTGAAACTTCTAAGTGCCTGGGACAGACAGGATGCGGTCAGGTGACTTTGGCTTAGCTGAGTTCAGGCCCTGAGCCCTTCTGCCCTGTTACACCCCCCTGACTGTCCAGTCTATCATGAACTTGGGACACAGGAAAATCCAGCAGCCAGCAGCACTGGGTTCAAGTCCAGCTTCTAGTCTGTTGGTCACAAGTGACCTTTCACTTGTAGATTCTTCTCTGTGGCCCAGTCGACAAAAGGAGCAGAAAAAGTGGTGGCCGTTGTGGGCTACGGATGTGACTCATTTGGTAGTGTGTTTGTCTGCCCGGATTCCAACACTGAAAATCCCATGCATGGCATGCGGGTGCTCACCTACAAACCCAGCTCTAGGGAGAAGGAAGCCGGAAGATCTGAAGTTCAAGGTCATCCTCAGCTACAAAGAGGGTTGAGGGCCAATGTGTGCTACAGAGTGCCTGCAGAGGCAGAAGGGGGGCCTTTGAGAAGAGGCTAGGCAAAGTCTGGGCTGGGGTGGCTCAGATCAGGCCTGGCTGACAGCATGTGTTGGTCTCTGAGGAAGAGCCACGGTCTACACAAAACTCACTCTGGTAGGCTGTGAGTGAAGGCTGACAGGTGAGCAGGTGGGACAACCCTCAGAATGTGACCTTGTCCGACCTCTGCTTTAAAAAGTCCCAGAGTCATTCCCTTGAATAGCCACTTCTCCCTGGGAGAAGCGCTTCACCTACCAGCTTAGCTGTTAAAGAGTTCAGCAGCTTCATCGTCATAAGAATAAGAATGCATGAAAATTGGGCTCTAGACCTGAGTGGGGGAGGAGGCTTTTCTCTGGGCCCAGAGTAAACTTCACAAATCGCAGCTCCGCTTTTCCAATTTAAATCCATCTTCTGGCCTCAGCAAGCCCTATATGCAGATGGATGGGGGAGGCCTGGCAGGTGGGCCTGCCAAATCACAAAGAAGGTGACGCTATAGGGCCTCCAGAGTAAGGAGGAGGTCAGCTAACATTCTACTTTAAAAAACAAAACATAAAATTGGCTGAATTTGGTGGCGCACACATTTAATTCCAGAACTCAGGAGGCAGAGGCAGGAGGATCTCTGTGAGGCTAGCCTAGAGTTTCAGACCCTGTCATAAGAAAAAAAAGAAAGGAAGGAAAAGAGAGAGGGGGGAAAGAAAGAAAGAGAGAGAGAGAGAGAGAGAGAGAGAGAGAGAGAGAGAGAGAGAGAGAGAGAGAGAGAGAGAGAGAAAGGTTGCTCTCCAAATAGACACATTGCACGACCCTGCGCCTGACTGCCTAACTTAAATCCGGTAATCTACATGGTGCGAGTAGCGGCTCTCAGCCCTATGCTGCCTCACCACCATCCAGCTCTACAATGTTGTCACCTCCCCAGACTGGAACTATGTCCCCCTGAAATGCTGACTCATCCTCCCCCACCCCTTTGAGCCCACATCCTGTGGAGCAAGGACTCTAGGGACTCCAGTGATCAGCCTAGCAGTATGTGGCCCTTTGTGCCTGGCCTGGCTCACCAATTGGAATGTATTCAACTTATTGGAATGTATTCAACTTATTCAACAGATACAGCTGCAGTTTGTGTCTGAATTCCCTTCCTTTTGAAGACTGAATAATATTCCGCTGCTCGGGAGGCCATATTTTGTTCCCCCTTGGTTTGTCTCTGAACCCTTGGGCTTCTATCTTGGGGCTGCTATGACACACTGTACCACTACCCCCACCAATGTTCATATGCTTACCTGATCCTGTTCAGCCCTTCCTCAGAATGCTCCGTTACATGGTAATTCTATGTTGAAGTTTTTGGGGCACTGCTCTCCTTTTCAGGCATTATCCTTAGCAATACTGGGGATTGAACCCATGATGTCATACTGTTAGGCCAACACCCTGCCACTGAGCAACAGCCCCAGACCATTTCAGATTTAAAAGAAGATTTATTTATTTTTATTTTATATGTATGAGTATTTTGTTTGCATCTATGTATGTCTGTATGCATGCATGTATGTATGCATGTGTTAAGGTGGAAGCTTCAGCTGGGCGTTGGCGGTGCACACCTTTAATGCCAGCACTCGGGAGGCAGAGGCAGTCGGATCTCTGTGAGTTCGAGGCCAGCCTGGTCTACAGAGCGAGTTCCAGGACAGCCTCCAAAACAATACAGAGAAACCCTGTCTCGAAAAACCAAAGGAAAAAAAAAAAGGTGGAAGCTTCACCCGGCCCCTGGCATCCATACACCCAAAGAGTCTGGAATGTTATGGTAGAAATTCCTCCCAAGTTCCCCTCCCCAATCTCCTTCCAAACCCTGCCGCATCTCAGAAAGCCCGCCAAAGATGACCCCCAGAGATGCTCATGACCACTCCCACAGGGTATTTAAACTGCCCCCCAGAAACCAGACTTGTGGCTTTTCCGGTCTCTCTTTCCTGTCTCCTCTCTGGGTGGCTGGAAGGCCATCTCAAGAGTGCTGTATCCATTAAATGTGGGCTTTTTCTAATACGGTTAAATTTGGTCTGATTTGGATTGCTGCATTGGTGGAGAAGCTTATCCGGGTATAGAAACCTTCCAGTATGATGTGTGCTACATGCATGCAGTGTCCATGAAAACCAGAAGAGGATGTCAGATCCCCTGGAAGTAGAGTTACAGATGGTTGTGAGCTGCCACATGGGTGTTGGAAATTGAACCCCAGCCCTCTGCAAGAGCAGTAAGATCTCTTAACCACTGAGCTGTCTCCCCAGCCCCTGTTTCAGA